CCGAGTCGCCGACCGATCCGTCCAAGACGCCCAAGATGGCTTCCAGACGGCCGAAGACGCCTCCAAGGCGCCCCAAGATGCCTCCAACAGGCATCTCAAGAGGGCCCCTAGAAGCACAAGTGTTCGGTTCCCCTCTGGTTTTTGCCAGATCTTGGCATTCTCGCCTGGCGTTCCAAGACGGCCCAAAATCACCCCAAGACGGCCCAAGAGGGCCCCAAGACGGCCCAAGAGGCCTCTAAGGCGGCATAAGAGGCTCCCAAGACGGCTTTAACAGATGGCCCAGACGGGGAACCCGAACGGATATTTTGAGCCTTCGGCCCCCCCCAGGCCCCCAAAAGGACCCCAAAAAACACCAAAAAAAAAAAAAAAAAAAAAAAAAAAAAAAAGAAAAAAAAAAAAAAAAAAAAAAAAAAAAAAAAAAAAAAAAAAAAAAAAAAAAAAACAAAAAAAAAAAAAAAAAAAAAAAAAATAACAAAAAAAAAAAAAACAAAAAAAACCCAAAAAAAAAAAAAAAAAAAAAAACCAAGAGGCCTAATAAAAAAAACAAAAAAATAATAAAAAAAAAAAAAAACAAAAAAAAAAAAAAAAAAAAAAAAAAAATAAAAAAAAAAAAATAACAAAAAAAATTAAAAATAAAAAAAAAAAAAAAAAAAAAAAAAAACGAAAAAAAAAAAAAAAAAAAAAAAAAAAAAACAAAAAAAAAATAAAAAAACAAAAATAAATAAAATAAAAACAAACACCAAAAAAAAAAAAGAAAAAGGGATCACGTTTGTCAGGAATCCCTTAGTACGGAACCTTAGCAAAGAGTACCCTTCGCAAGAGATTTCTTCTGCATGGAAAAACAACGAAGAGAAAAAAAAAAAAAAGAGAAAAAAAAAGAAAGAAAAAGAAAAAAAAGGAAAGGAAAGTAAAAAAAAGAAGAAAAAAAAAGACAGAAAAAAGATGGAAAACCAAAAAAAAAAAAGAAAAAGAATGGGAAAAAAAAGAGAAAAAAAAAAAGAGAGAAAAAAAAAAAAAAAGAGAAAAAGAAAAAAAAAGGCCTAGCTGGGAATCCGTAATACGGAATCCTGAATAAGGAATCCTTCGCAAGGAATCCTTAACAAAAAACCTCAAGAAGACCTTCTCACTACGGAACCCGCAGTGAGGAATCCTCAGTGAGGAACCCTGTATAATAAATCCTCACTAAAATTGAAAACCTTCAAGAAGGACACATGTACTGAGGAATCCTCACTACATTACCCTCAATAAAAAAACCTTACTGAGGAAAACTTAATGAAGAATCCGTGGCCAGGAACATTTGATCAGGAATCCATAACAAGGAACCCTGGGCAAAGAATCTTGAACCAGGAATGCCACCGCGACGACGGCCACGATGGCCCCGAGTGACACCGCGAGCACCTGCACCGCCACCGGCAACGAGGAGGGGGCGGAAACGCATGAAGACATCGGGACTGCGGCGAAGAAACGCGCCGAAGCATGATCAGCGACGCGGGCCAGCGGCCGAGCCCGCGACTCGAGCCCGCCGCCGTGGTGACTGTGGTGCAACATGTGACGGTGACGAGTTCTTCCCTCCCCTCCTCCAGACTTCATCCTGCCCCTCGTTTTGGGAAGCGTGTCTGCCTCTCCCCCTACCCCCTCCCGTGAGCCTGGACAGGGAGCGGGGTTCGACAGGTTAGAGAGTCTGAGAAGGCCCAGGATGGGTCCAAGAGGGCCCCAGACAGGCCAAGATGACCTCCGAGATGGCTCAAGATACCTCGAAGCGGCTGAACACTATTTCCGAGAAGCCCCACGGGGACCAGCCGATGGCCCGAAGATGGCTCCAGGAGTCCTCCAAGAACCTCTCAGGACTCCAGGAAGAGGAGGAGGATGAGGAGGAGGAGGAGGACGAGGAGGAGGAAGAGGCACAGAGGGGGCTGCGACCTGCGCAACGGTCGCCGCTTTCGTGTGCTCCTGGGAGGCACAGCGGAATGGGGGAGCACTGGGACCCAGCCGAGTCAGGCGGGCTCCCTGGAATCATCAGGAATTCTCAGGAATCCTCTGCAATTCTTGGGAATCCTGGGGAATCGTCAGGAATCCTGGCGGTCCTCAGGATTCCACAGGAACCCTCAGGAATCACACAGACTCGCCAGCAATCCTCAGGCATCCCAAGGATCTTCAGGAATCCTCAGGAATCCTCAGGAAGCCGCCAGAATCCTCAGGAATCCTCAGGCTCAGGGCTTACCGGGGCTCCTGAGGAGAGATTAGGAATCCCTCGGACTTCCTTAGGAATTCATCAAAATGCTCAAGAAACCCTAGGAATCCTCAGGAATCTTTAAGGATCCTCAAGACTTTAGGAATCCTCCGGAATCCCTCTGAATTCTCAGGAGTCACGAATGACCCTCAAGAATCCCTGGGAAACCGCAGGAATCCCTGAGAATCCCACGGGATCCCTGGGAATACATGATCCCAGGCTCCAGGCCCACGGCCCCCCCCCACCCCCCCCAGATAGGATGGGTCTCAG